TAATTGATGATATATTTGTGAATACTTTTATTTATTTTTGACTAATAATATTATAAAGAGACTGCTATATATATTTTATCAATTTTAATATATCCAGCTATTGATATATTATAAAATTCAAATAATATTTTTTTCTTTATGTTTTTATTATCAGATATAACTAGATGACTTGTATTTTTCAAATACAGTAAATTTTCTTTCAATTTAAAGTTTTTGACTTTAGTTTGCTACTTTGAATTGATATTATTGAAATTCTTCAATACTTTATATATTTCTGCAAAATATTTATCTGCTTGATACTTCTTTATCAAGTCTTCTTTTTTTATTAGATTAGTGATAATTACTAAAATATTTGCTAGATATGATTGGTGTAAGAGTGTATTAGTTACTATATTATTCTTATTAGATTTATATTTTACTTCAAAGTTACTGGTTTGTAAAGTTTCTAATTAACAAGCTTATTTCTTGAAAAGATTATATTGTGTCTTGATATATTTTAAAGAGATATAATCTATAATTATTATAAACTTTTGATCTTCTAAATATAGTTTCCAAAGTCTAATTGCATGTATAATTACAAGTAGTTCATTCTTATAAATTGGATAATTTTGTTCAGCTAATAAAAGTTTTCTTGATTCAAAAGTGATTGGTTGGTTATTCTTGTTTTAGTTTTGGCTTAACACAACTCCTATAACAAAATCTAAAATATCTGTAGTGACTGTAAATAATAATTTTGAATCTGATAACAATAAGACTAGTACTGATATAAGATATTATTTTAGTTTTTAAAAGCTTGTTACATTATTATAAACTATTCATACTTAATATCTTTATGTAGAAGTACTGTGAGTGATAAGACAGTTACTGAAAATCTTTTTACAAATTTTCTGTAGTAACTTGCAAAATCTAAAAATAAGCAAAATTCTGACATATTTGTTAGTGCTGGTCAATCTTTAATAGCAGTAATTTTTTTTTGATTAACTAAAATACTATCTGCTAAGATAAAATATCCAAGATATTTTACATATTACCAGATAATATCACACTTCTTCCACTTGGTATACAGTTTATATTTGCAAAGTATTTTTAATATAGTCTGAAGATATTAGATATATTTTTTTTTATTTTATTATATATTAAGATATTATCTAAATATATAATTATAAATTTGTTAAGATAATTATAAAATATTTTATTTATAAGCATCATGAAGATGACAGATATATTGGTAAGATCAAAGAGTAGAATTAAGAATTCAAAGTATCCATAATGAGTTCTAAATACTATCTTGTGAATATTTTCTTTTACAATATAAATTTAATGATATTTTGAGTATAAGTTTAGCTTTGAAAAATATTTTAAGCCTATAAATTTGTCTATTAACTTATCAACTCTGGATAATGAATAATAATTCTTGATAATGATTTTATTTAAAGCTCTGTAATTAATATATAGCCTGAATGTATCTTCTTTCTTATATATAAAGAGAACTGATACTCTAAATAGTAAGATACTAGAATGAATAAAATCTTTTTGAATAAGATCAGCTAATTATTTCTTGAGCTCATCCATCTTTGTAAAAGAAAGTCTGTAGGTAAATTGGATAATAATTTAGATCCTGAAATGAGATTAATTTTATAATCAATTATTCTTTTGAATGATAACTAATTTAGTAAGATTTCTGGAAATATATCTTAAAATTTTCTTTTAATATCTAATACTTCTGGTAAAAGTGACTTTTCTTTTGCTTTTTTGTTATTCTCAGCATTATTAAAATGTATGGTGAAGAATTCTGCATCTGCTAGCAGATTGATAATTTGTTATCTTGAAATATAAATTAAATTGCAGCTGAAATCTGACTTAACTTTATTATCAGCTTGAATTTTAATTATTTTTAAATTATAAGTAAAGATACTAATATTATTTCTCTAGTTTATGATGAAGTTGGTATAAAATAACCAAGATTTATCTAGGATGAGATCATATCTTTGTAATTTCAAGACTTATACATCTATCTTATGCATTTTATAAGCATCTAATTTTAACTTATTAATCTTTATCATGGTAATAACAGTAATCTTCTTGTCATCTACAAGTTCAACTATAATTAATATTATCTTTTGTAATTTGCCTTTATTTTTCTAAATAAATTTCTTATTAACAAAGTTTCTTGATACATTACTGTCAAGTAATATCCATACTGATTTGCTATTTACTTGACTATTAAATTTCAATAATCTTTCTCTATTATCTTCAAGATAAGTAATCTTAACTCTTTTATATGATTATAAAGATTCTTTTTATTTATCTTTTATATTTACAATTTTGGTCTTTGATTTGAAATAATAATTCTTTGTGAAGTGATCTGATTTGTCACAGTTATAACAGATATCTTTAGATTTATTATTCTTCTAATTATTATTATTCTTTCTATTATTATAGTAACTTTCTGTCTGATTTAATTCCATTAGTATTAGATCATTATTTTAATAATTTCTATACTAATTTTGTGAGTAATAATTATTATTATTTCTATTTGATAGATCTAGAGATCTATCTTGCCCATACATAATGGTATCATAATGAATAACTAATTTTTAAGTATCTTCTAAGATTTTTAATATCTGATAACTAATTTCCATTTTGGTGATAGGTTTCAAATCTTCTATAAAATATATGACTTGATTTAGATCATCTATATCAGTTATTTAACTAACTATATTTCTAAATTTAGTATTATAATCTTGTATTAAATCAATTTGACAAAAAGATATAATTATTTGTGAAGATTTTATTAATAATATGATAATTGAAATGTATCTCTAAGAGCTATAACAAAAATATTCCAGCTTTTAAAAGATAAAACACTATTATCTGTCTTGATTTTATTAAGATACTAATATAAAGTTACATCTGTTAAAGAGATGATGATATATTGTGTCTGAGTTTTCTTATCAATAATTCCTTAAGTCTGAAATATTATTTTAATTTATATTATTCAGATAAGTATATTTTTATTTAATTTTTCAGAGTAAATAGATAGTTTTACTAAGAGATAGGATGCAGATTTAGGATTAAAGAGATCATTTTCTTTTATAATCTTGATTAATTTAGTGATGCTTATCATAAATTATGTGAATTATTTTGTATTTATTTTTATTAAAATTTAATAATAGACTAAGTATGTATATGTGAAATATGTAAGATATTAGAGAATGATATTTGTAATAACTATATCTACTAAAGATGGTATAATAAGTATGTGACACTTATTTGTCACCTGTTGCAATATGTTACAACTTCAAAATTTTATAAGTTGCAACTAATTGCAACTAGATAATACTTTATTTGTCATCATATTGCAACAGTTGAGGAGTCATCTTTAGTATTTACTACTATCAAGTTATAAGATTATTTTGTTAATGATTATAAACAAGATAAAATACAATATGAATAGTTTTAATTTTATAACTTATAATTATTTTTATTATTTAAAAATATTTAGATCTGAAGTTAAAAGTATAATATAGAAAGGTTATATTTATAAGAAAAGAAATAAATACAAAATTCAAATAAATTAATATGAATTTCTAATTTAAATTACATATAAATTAATAGAATTAATTATTTAATTTGTATTTTTAGAGAGTAATTAATTATAATTCAATAATTATAAATAATATAAATAATAATATAAATAATAAATAAAAAGAATGAATAAAAAATATAAAGAAATATTAATAATAAAAATAATTAAAAATATTAATAATTTAAATTAATAATCATGATATATATAGTAATTATCTGAGTAATAATATGCTAAATCTAGATGTATTAAATATATAACAATCATCTATATATTCAGAGTGAAATTGATCTTCTTAAAAATATAATATAAAACTAATATGTAATACAAATAATGTAAAATAAAGATCTCAACTAAAAAAATTTAAAAGAGATACTCTAATCAAAATTATTATAATATAATACAGAAGCTAATCTGTTATACACATAGTATAAAATAAAAATCTGAGCTAAAGAAAGATAACTCAATCAAAATTATTATATTTAGTTTATAATTTTTAATTTATCTTGAAATTAAAAATAATTTAAATTAGTTTATTTTTAGTTATTATATATTTATTAAATTTTATTTAATTATTAAATAATATTTCTAATATTATTAATAAAATAATCTATTTTTAAAAAACTTATTATTATTTTAAAAGATTATAATCTTTTTTAAAAAACTTATTAGATAAGATATTTATAAAATTTTTAATTAGAATAAGACTATTAATATTATTATATTTAAATAACTCTAATAATATTCTATTTGCTTTAACTAATAATATTTCAAGAGAGATATTATTATTATTTTCAGAAGAAAAAGATATCTGAGAGAAATTATAAAAAATTAATTAATTATATATAATTATATTATTAATATTATATAATAATATAATCATATTTTTATATTTATAATTTTAGTTAATTATATAAATTATCAGATATAATATTAATATTACTAATATAATATAAAGTTTTTAATAATATCATAATTAGAAATTATTATAATATTAAATTAATATCTTTATAAAACTTTTTCTATATTTTTAATTAATTATATTTTATATTACAATATAAATTAAATAATTCATGAAATTATCTTGAATCATTTTTGGATAAGATTTAGTTCTATTTAAAAGTTATATAATCTAGAAATTGAATAGAATCATGATTTTAAAGTCAGAATTGGATTAGAATGATTCTACTAAGAGATTATCTGAAATCTGATCATCAAAAACTAATTATTATATACTTCCAAATTTAAGCAATCTTCAAAAATAAGTAACTTTCTTCTCTTTAGATCCAAAAAATTAAATAAATAATCTCTTTGTTAAGATTATTATTTAATATATAAAATGATTTATTAATATTTATTATATTTTAACTCATTAATAGAACTTTTATCTTCATTAAATATCTCAATTACATTATCAATTTCTTCTATTCTATTTGTTTCTATATCTAAATCATATAATAAATCATTTTCAGTTCCATATAATATATTAGAAATGCCATATTTTTTAAATAAATTAATAATTATTTCTATAGAAATATTATTCTATATTTCTAAAATCCATTGACAAATTAAATTATGTCCAGATTTTTTTAAATATCCACCTTTTGTCAATTAATATTCATCATTACTCATCCATAAATACCATTTTTCTCTTAATCTGTCTTTAAATAATTTATTGATATATACATCTAAAGATTGTATAATAGATATTAACCCTTCTGGAATAATTATGGTGTAAATATTATTGGTATTGCATTTGTGACATACAGATTCAGGTTTATATTCTTCAAATGAATCCATAACAAGTAATAATTGAGATTTTTTTGTTGTTGTTGTTCCAGATTGTTTATTCCAAATTTGTTCAATCTATTCATACATTAAATGTTCATCCATTCAAGCTTTTTCATGCATGCATATCATAATATCTTGAGGAAAATTGGTAGAATTTGTATACTTTTGAAAATTACCATAGGAGGAAGTTTGCCACCATCAGTTGTAATAGCCAAAACACATATAAACCAATTTTTGTCATTGCTAGTTTTTCGAATATGAACAGTCTTAGTGTCTTTTATATCAATTGTAGTAGTACCAGCCATGTTGAAATAAATTGGTGTTTCATCCATATTGGCAATGTGAGAAAGATCATACTTGTAAGTTAACCAAGATCGGATTACAAATTTTTGGAATTCAACAATTTTTTCACTGAGATCTTTGGGTAATTTTTGACCAATTTTAGCGTAACATCGGAATGAAAGACTGTCTTTTTAAAAACCAATAAAACCAAGAATCAGAAGCATGAAACTTATTAGCAGCGTCCGGATAATGGTCTGAACAGATTGTTTTAAAGATAGTGATCATTTGCATTTTGATAGCTGCAGATGTTACCGCAATTCCAACAAGTCGAAGCTCGCGGATCCAATTAACAAGTTCCTCTTCAGCTACTGGATAAACAGCAATCCTTCCTGCACCAACACGTCGATTTTTTGATACCGCGTTATTAAACTTTTCCTCATTAGGCATCCACCGTGATACCATTGACTTATCAACACCAAAACGACGCGCTGCAGCCAAAATGCCAATTTTTTTCTTTACGAATAACGACAAGCTTTTCAGATGCCTTATATGCAGTTCTTTGTACGCGTTTTTTGACCCGAGTTGGCTCGGTACTAACATTGCCAGAGTTAGTGCTCATTTTTTATGTTGAGCTGGATAATGTTAGCAAGGTAGGTAGATCGTGACGCGAAAAAAATATCGATAGCAAAAAAATTCGAAATCGGAAATTTCAATTTTGTGCGTAACGTTAGGCACATTTTTACAATCGTACACACTCTTTATCTGACCCCTACCCAGTATTTTTTAAGGGATTTCTGAACTACCCGAATTTAAGCAACCCCTTAAATTTTCGACCTCAAAAATGATGACGTAGGGGGTTGCTTAAGTTAGGGAGTATACGTAACATTCCTAGATGTAATAACACGGAAAACGTGGAAAAATAACTAGAGATAATTCCGTGATCATACAGTCTCACGGCTTACTTGGTAGATTCCCCGTATCCAATCCACCGGGCAACAATATATAACTAACTTTATTAACCTTATGCATTTTGTTGTCATCACTATTCACGAGATCTGATCCCGTGAACATTTATTTCACGGATTGGCCAATCGTGTATCAACGTACAAATTACCTTAATCGTAATAGTTTATATATTTGATGCGGTAGATATCATCAAGTGGTTTTTCTGTGATAAACATTGTATTATAATAAAAGTTCTGTTTCTATAATGATAATATTTAATCGAAGCACAATTTCTAGAAAATTGTGGTATTTGTAAAATTTAATATTAGATCATTCATGTAATTTTTCTTTCTGATTTCCAAAAAATTTCATTTTACATAGCGAGATTTAGACATTACGAAATTTCGAAAAATCCCTGAGTATAATAAAAAGCATTTGTTTCTATTTAATGCTCATTATAGAGCCTGAGCTGATTCATCGTTATATAGAGCTTTTGACTGTATCGATATATGAAAAATGCAGTATGCATGTAGGTAATAATTGTCGCAGATTAAAATAAAATTAAATTTTTGGCCAAAATTATTCGGATTATGTAAATCATTTAGCCAAAATTATATGATTAAATAGATTAAATAGTGATTTTTTAACTACATGTTACATGTAATAATTTAATAAAACTACACTGTGGCTTGTACATGTAATAGTAAATGTGGAACCAATATCCTAAAAGTCAACAAGCACACAAATGCGTTAAACACAGATGCGTTGGACTAATACATGTACTTTATGTGCTTAAAAATGTGTTCAGTAAGGAGGAAGAATAGCGAAATACATATATTTGACTACTGAATTGTAACATTAGAATCAAAATTTGCTTCACATTAAGAAAAAATCTCACTGCCTGCGTGATGAAAAAGTTCGCTGTTGTTATTTTTTGCTTTGACCAATTATATCATTAACATTTTTCATATCATGAGTGCCGTCTGTAATGTTAATTTTTTGCGATATTCGTTAATATCGTCTGGATCAGCTGCAAAATATAAAAGTCGAGGCCGTGATGGTTCAGCTAATCTTTTCTCGTTTAAAAAAGAAATTAGATTCAAAATTACTTTTATTCCAAAAATTCGTGAGATTTTTATCGCCAGCATTATAGGGAGCATCCAGAGCGGCTTAGCCATTTCACGTATTGATAAAGTTTCGGATAAAATATGAGCAATTGCTCGTTTAGAATTTTGTTCCTCCTTGTTTTTGATGTCTTCGTATATCTTTCTAAAATAAAATCAGTATTATATTGTGCATTATATTAATATCAACATGCTCAAGAAGCAAAATGATCTTACGATATAAAAGCAATTAGCATATTTTGAGTCACAATGACTAGAAAAAATCCACCGATCACTGATACAAAGTGAATCGGCCAAAAGTCCCATTTATTTAAATAGTCCCATCTTCCACTGAGCCAAAAGAAAACGGACTCTACAGAAGTTTCCATTTTCCAAAAATAATTTTGTGAAGTATCATTAAATGCAATTGAGCCTTAGTCTTTGTCATTAAAAGGTGGAGTAAAATGAAGTAATAAAAACCTAAAAACATAATGGAAAAAATTAAAATAATTCATAGCTTCTCGAATATAAATGTAATAGCAGACTTACATTGAATAAGCCAGTGAGATAATAATAATTAGTTGAAAAATCATAAACGGAGCGATTTTCATCAAAATTTTGTTGATTATATAAATAAAGTAATATGTTTCTAAAGAAAATGAGAGTGCTTAATCAATAAGATTCACAACAAAACATAGCTTAAGTATCAAGATACGTACTTTTGATAAATCTCAAGCGAAGAAACTAAATTAAGTAAAAAGTAGTTAGTTCTTTTTCTTGGAATCAATTGTTAGAAAAATATAAAAATTTCCTACTTGTTGTATACAAATTATTAAAGCCGTAAAAGTGAATATTGCAACTTGAGCTTTGCAGCCATATACTCCAGTTTTTTCAGTATCAGCAGGAGTCATATATACCATGCTCGTCTTAAATGAGCAAAAACCATTACCGCGTTTTCCAGTTATATTGATACCAATATAACTTATAACTATAATTAAAAAGCCTTCAATAAACTCCATTAAAGTATAAAAAGTAAAATTCCTAAAAGCGCCAAATAAAATAGCTAAAATGATCAAATATCCCCCATAAAAAATAGAGAGGGTCGCAATTGTATAGTCCGTATACAAAGCGGAATTTCCGTCAGCTTTGAATATTGAAACATTGAATATTGATTGATTAAGTATAGTGTATAACCAATAGAGATAAAAAAATGAGAAAAGAGAAATGACGAAATTTATATAGAATATGAACTTGTGGCCTATAGAATTTTTAAACTTTAAAACAGCATCAATTGCTGGAACCATTAAGATATCGGAACAGGGATTACATTCAAGGAATCTTATTAAAGGGCTAAAATTTATCGGTGATTTAGGATTTAAATCCCGTAGTATAGAAGAATTGCGTAGTATAATAGAAAAACTGAATAGGATAGGATAAAAGATTCTGAAAAGAGGTTTTTGAAGAAATGCATAATAAATAATTTTCAATATACTTTGGTTTTTGTATGGTGCTCTAAAAAAATTTGGAAGGGGCACGACATAAGTCTTGAATGCTAAATTTTCATTATCAAAAAATTTGTGGTCTCGAAAAAGCTGATTTCGATATATATTTTTTGTATATGATATCGGATAGATTATTTCTTTTTTGATCTTGAAAGTATTTATATTACAGGTTACTGTTGCTGGTAGCTCTTGTTCCTTACACCAAAATATATCGTTTGAGAAATATTTGATAACAATTTCTATAAATATATAAGAGATTCGATTAATAAATTTAGGCAAATTTTGAAACTTCTTATTAAAAAAATAAATTAACATTTCTTTGCCTGGGAATTTATTATAAAAATTTGCCAAGGATTCTGAGAATAGACTCATATATCCGACGTCATATACTCCCCAAGATAGGTAATAATCCATAAGTGTTTGTAATATTTCAAGTTTTCCTTTATCAATTGCAATTGATAAAACATTAACTCCGGTTCTTTTATTAACAACAAAAGGAACATGTAAACCAAATTCTGGTTTTCCTTTATTATGTTGCTCTTTGGACTTAATGTAGCTTTTAATATTATCTTTATTTTTCGACAAATAAGATTTAATCATTCTGATGGAACCTTTTTCGATGAGTTGAATCATTATTTTATGATTCAAATCAAGTAATCGCCAAAAGCCAATTTTGATTTCTTTAGATTCTATTTTTTTTATCAGCATTTTTTCGGTCGCCATCAGAATTTTCTTTAATTGATTGTCTCTAGCAATTGAATCTACTTGACAGGTCGAATACAGAAATTTGAATGCAGCTAGATTTTCAATAAAAGTTTTTTCATCTGTCATTTGCTCAGAAAGTACATTTTTTGGTATCTTAATCTCGCGAACGGATTTGGATTCTAGGGTTAAGACAACTTTAAATTTAGTTTCAATTTCCATTATTTTAAATGAATCTATTTTTTCATTATCGTTATCTGACCAAATGCGTTGAATATATAAAAGATTCGCATTATCTGTTCTCGTTTTGGAATGTTGCCACACTTGTATTGTGTCATAGCCAACGATAATGCGTAATGAGTTTTTGGTTATAAGTATATTCCATTTTTTTCTGTTAATTTCTTTTCTCCATGGTTCAAAATATTCTAAATTGCTATTGGGTATCTCTTCTTCTAAGTTGTTATTGGGTATCTCTTCTTCTCCTTCTACTTGTTTATAGAAAGATTCATTATCCACTTCATTTTCTGCTGTTTCATATCGCTTTTGAGATCGAGAATGTTTTTCAAGATAATTCTGAAGATTGAAAATCTCGTAATTTTTGTTTGGAAATTTACAAATTACTAATATTTTATTATTTGAAGAAATTAATTTACAATTTTCTGTAAATTCTTTCGAAGACAATTCATAATCCATATCCTCTTTCCATACCAAGAGATCCCAAACACAAAAGCGTAAAGTATCTTTATCATCTTCTTTTATTAAAATCACGAGTTCAATTTTGGATTTATCTTCTTTTTCCTCGAATGCCATTTGTATAATTGTGCCATAATATTTTTTATTGATTATTTCGATGCCATTTTCAATTAGATAAAGGTGAACAGTATCTTTAAAAGCAATGGCGAGCAATCTTTTATCGCGAGACATAGCAATTACATGTACATGTACCTGTAATATGTTGCTGATTGTTTGATGACCAGATTTTTCTTGATGTGGATCGAATTGTATTTTTACATCGCCAGTTTTAAATGAATACATCGAAATTTTATTTTCACTATTCACTGAAAAGAAATATCCATCCAATATTAAATTACTTAATCTTCTGATGACTCGATCCGGCTCTTTTTCATATTTTATATTTATTTCTGATGGTAACGGATAAATATGGAATCCTTCGGATTTTGACGAAAGTTTTTCGAGAGTGGAACGGATATATACTCCAGTATCAAATCTTTGAAGAGCTCTTTTGACATTCGTCTTGATGTATTCAGAGTAGTTCGAATTTTTTGGATTGAGAGGAAAAAATTCGCCAGAGAAAAATCTTTGAAAAGGACCAAAGTTATTCGATTTAATAGAATTAGAATACTTAAGTTCTTTAAGATTGAAACGAATAAATCCATTGCCATTTACTATGACTGCATCAAAGTTCTTAAAAATTTTCACCACACCAGAGAATTCTATACAAGCTCTTTTGAATTCGGCGTTCTTTATTGCTACACAATATGTATTTCCGTTTTCGATATGTTCGAATAATTGTAATGCTGAATCGAGCTTGGTTTGCAATGCTGGTTTTTCAAGCTGATAATTATAAATTGTTTCTCTTTTTTCAAAGCATGAAAGTAGTATGTAAGTTGTATTCTCAATGGTGTTTGAAATGGCCAAAGAATATTGATCAATATCGTTAGAAACACTATTGATGTCGCTTGAATTTTGGCTGTTTGGCCGAGTATTCTGCAATAAAGGAATTTTGACGTCGTCAATAACTTTATAAGCACCATCGTTATCGCTTGTAATCGACCAAATGACCAATTCTCCACTTCCTTAGGATATCAGAATTTGCAATTATATCAATATAAAATGGATGATAATTCCACTTTTCAATTTTTATAGTTACGCTCACCTTTCTCATATTTAGCTATTAACTCTCCATTAGGACTTTGTGCAATGATACATGAACTAAGCATTTTCTTATCATTTAAAATGACTTGAGTGTCATGAATTTCAATTGTTGTTTCTTTTGACATTCTTAAGTAAAAAAAGAAATTACTTGAAAAATAGGAATAACACGTATAATTATAGGGAGCTTATAAGAATGCAATCTAATTAGCGTGCAATTTATAGTTTTCTTGGAATGCCCAACTCTTAATACTATTATTAATGAGTCTATATTAGTGTAAACTATAATGGAGCACATGCTACATTATTTAGTTTCTCAACAAGTTTCACAAACGCCCGAGTACATATAATATTTGATTTCTTGGATGAAATTTTTGCCAGACTGATAAGTAGGGTTGTTATCACAATCACGTTATACATGTATCATCTTCGGCTAGTCGAATAGAATTTATTTTTTTCGGGTCATACATCCTATAGAAATACTGAATGTTAATATTTACTCGATAAATTATAAAATAACTACGTGATTCTTGGATTCAATCCAATAATTTTATTATCTTAAAGGTTACGCTAAGAAAAAATTCTCAATATACAATTTGCAAATTACTCTTGTTTCGATTATCTGTGTAGCGGTCGTGTACCAAATGACACAGGCGCAATCTTAAATAACGACGTATTTCATATCATCCACAGTTAATCTTGCGATGGCGGCCACGGAAAAAGTTATCACTTAATTTGATGTAAAAATGTCTCACAAACATATAAATGTACCATGTACGCCTTTTACATTCTCAAAATTTGGTATTTGGACAATGATGGGGCTGTCGCTTATATAGTTTGTGACACATGACCTCGGAGATTATGACTTAATTTAGAGATCAACATCTATTATGGTAAGTGAACAATGCTATTCTCCATTGCGTATCTTTTCTATAGAACCAATAGAGCTATTTCAATAATAAAAAATCCCAAATAGAACGTCACAATTGTTTCTTTTGAGAAGATTCGATTGTAATCTTCGCATTCATTCATTATATAAAGTTTCTCGTGGGGTTTTAAATTGCGATAGATGAAAAGACTGTCTATCCTCAGCATCGTCCTCTTCTTTTTTAATATTAATTCTAATAACCGAACGCCTCATATACAATTATGCTAAGGTTTACCTCTCACTCGTCATATTCTCTATCATGGAAGTAGTCGCCTTTGCCATCGGTTTAGTGACCCATATAATAACTCGGCATTTTTTATATTAGCACCAAGCATATTACGACGTGCTGGGGTTTCCTTAGTTATCAAGGTCTTACACGTTCTGTTGTTTAGTTGAGTGACTCCTAAGAAATTGAACCGTTATGAGGGAATGCCATTCATCTTAGCAATGATTTCACTTCCGTTATTTGTTATCTCTTGATTATTGGCATCATAGACTATACGATGAATACTATGGATATTATAAATTCGATAACAATGGCCTTGTGTTCATCATGGTTTCAATTATTGGCTACTCGATTTTGTTGATTGTTCATTGGATGTTGACAGCGTATTCAGTGCCTAAGATTGTAGATACGAAGAAAGAAAAAAAGCGCGCGATATTGACGTCAAGTGTTGCATTGTTGGTGATTAAAATGCTTTTATTATAGCGAGTTGGTTCGGTCCTGACGAATCGTATGTGAATGCACATATAAGGATATCTTATATGTTCAGCAGCGTGCCAGAGCTGTTTTGTCTGCTGTTGTTTGGCATTGCCAATTTGAAAAATTTTATTCAGGGTTGGCCTTGGACCAGTCTAATATGCTGTCCAAATATTTCCATGATTAAATTACTAAAAATTTTTTCAAAAAACTTGGACAAACTGTCCAAGGACCAACCTTAATTTTATTCCTAATCAAAGCGTATCTGTATACGGTCATATAGCAAGCCATTTCGTCTAGCATAGAGAACATTCCAAATGTATTGTATACAAACCGAAATTGTATCAATTGTCGGAATTGCACATCATTATTATATAAAGTAATCGGTACATTAAATATATAATTAATCATTCTTAAATTTATTAAAGTTATATTCAATGCTCATATTTTAAATTTGTTTGTTTCGATCCATTTATCGAATTTAGGTAATATCAACAACATATAGTAAATCTTTTAATAAGCACATGTAAACAAGCTAAAAAGTCTACCAACTGGATATGATGTTTTTGCTAGCCAGAATCAATTTCAGAGTGAATAGAGTTAATCCGAAAATGATGTTACTTTTGAAATATATTTAAGCAAAATATGTCTGTAAATTTTAATACTGAACTTAGAAAGAAGTCAAAGCTGATAATATTGAAATTAAAGCTTAAAAAGCGAATTAAAACAATTTTTGGAAAATTATGAAGCCAAATTTACGAATCTAGAGCAAAACGATAATGAGAAGAGCAATCTTATTGCCAAATTAAGTGTTGATATCAGAAAAATCAAACAATCTTCAGTTAATACTAATGCTCCTTGTGCAATGAATTCTAATATTTCTAAACAGATAGAAAATATATCCAACAATGCATCTAACTCTGATATATGCCAGAAATTAGAGAGTCGATGTTCTAATCTTCTATTCCCATAGAAACTATATCATTGAAAGAAGAGGAAATGAAATAAATTCCTCGAATTACAAAATTAGGAAAAGATTAGTAATACGAGAGAAAAAGCTTCAAGTCATGACTTATTTTAAGATAATAATTTATCAGAGTGATCAAGTTTATCATATGATATAAATCACGATAATGATCAAATCAAGCTACTGAACAAACTTTAAAATGTGATCTTACTAAATCTACTTTTATAACAGAAACTATTTCAATTGATAATGAATACTTCTTAAAGAAACAATTGAAAAAACTATTAAATCTGTATAAAAGAAATCTTTTATTGGTATTATTATTTCTTTGAAATTAAAGATAAAGTTAAAAATATGATTGCAGATGGAAAGATTAAAGAAAAGATAGCAAACTCAATGATATAAAGAAATAAAGAAATAATTCAATCTATTATAAATTAATAAATATACAAATTGTTAAAGGATGCTTGTCAAAATTATTTTAATATTAAAATTCTGAAATTATATCAAATTATATATTAATAGCTTATTATGATTTGATTTTAACAAATTTATTATATTTACTATAATTAATAGTTTGTTATAATTTCAGCTTTGGTATTTAAGTATAATTAATATAAAAAAGCAAATTGAATTATAGAGAGATGTGATTATGATAAGATATTTTTAATTAATAACTGGAAAACTAAAAAAAATAACTAAAAAATTTAACTATAATTATAAATATATCTGACTATTATATAATTGTAATTTTTATAAAAATATCTATATTAACTAAGTATTTTTAAATATTTAAATAATTATCTATCAGAAGATTACATGAAGATATACATATTTTTGAGCTAATCAGAATAAGTTTTAATATAATAAAACTGTAAAAGAGAAACTTATAAAAGATAACAAATATCAGCTTAATACAACACAAAATTAAAAATTATTAAATCATGATATCTTTACATAAACTTAAGAATATCAAATTATAGTTGATAGATTTAATTACATATATGTAAATAACTTAAATATGATAAATTCAATACAGATAATTAAACTAATTATATCACAATTGCAACATTTATTTAATTTTTAGTATTGCATTATATTTACTTATTTTTAATATAAATTTGTATAATTCTTAATATAAAATAAAAATATTATATTTTTTTATTTTTTAACTATATCCAATATACAGTGGTGAGCAAAAAATTTTGGAATTATTTCACAAGATTTTTCTTGATGATTAATAATTATTTTTTACT